AACTGCAGCAACACTGCTATCTTATATTTGAGCTTCTTCAAAATAGCCATCCTTTAGTCTGCCACAAAACCTCATGAATTGCCTACTTAGACACTTGAATAATGCCCAGAAATTAAGTCTAGGTTGTGCACTGGCAAGGCTTTGCAACACAGTTGTAGTCTGTTGTTCAAACATGTGACTTGTGTAACTTTTGTTGTGTTCGCAGGCTGGAACATACCTGCCGCAGTCCTACCTGGTGCGTGAACAGATGATAGTGACCGGGAAGTTGGAGCATGTGGATCAGCTGGGTTACTTCATCTACAGCCTCTGCAGAGGGAGAGACACTTACAAACTGGAGCGCAGAGAGACCATTTTTGGTAAACACATGAATCTGACTATACTTTTGGCGAGCAACCCATTGTTCAAAAGTTAATTACACACTAACCTTTACAGTCGATGTTTGCCAATTAAGACTTTGTCTCATTTATGAGTCTTTACTAGGGAGTTTTTTTAATTATGTTTTATAATGTTACAAAATATCTCTTATTTATTTTTTCAAAATATAGTTATTGGCTTTGGTTTGAACAACAACAACAAAAAAAGACATTCCAAACCATTAAAACCACTGAAACAAAATAATAGAATGAAATAAAATAAGGTAAAATAAATTTACATTTTCATACAGCCACAGTTCATAGATTTCCAATGTATTATTTAGCTATTTACAAATTTCTATTTCAAATAAATGCTGTTCTATTCAAACTTTCTATACTTCAAAGCATCCGGAAATAAAAAGTATCACAAGTTCAACAAAAATATTAAGCATCACCACTGTTTTCAACATTGATAATAATACGAATTTTTTAAAATAATAATTAATACGTTTTAGTCATTTTGTGTTGTCATTTTCTATTCCTTTTTAAAAAATATCTGTGAAGTTTAATTTTTATTTCAGTTTTAGTTCTTTTAGTACATCAAGGTAAACTATATGAAAATGAGAAATGCTCCCTTGGTGACTAGCAGAAATTAATATATATCATGGTACATCATGGTTTCTTCATAAATATGAAGCAGCACAACTGTTTTCAACATTGATAATAAGAAGCTTTAGCAGCAAATCGGCATATTAGTAATGATGCTGAAAATTTCGCTTTGTCATCACAGGAATAAATGATATTAAAATAGAAAACTAATATTTTAAATTGTAGTAATATTTGAGAGTATTAAATTGTTTACTATATATTTTTTAAACAAATAAATGTAGCCTTGGTGAGCATAAGAGACTACTTTCAAAAATATTAAAAATCTTACCAAAC